TTGTAACTAAAAGTAAAATAATAGAACTGTTCTATTATTTTGCTATTATGTTACTGTTATGTTACTCATATTGACAACTCTTCTGTTATTTTACTATTATTTTGCTATTATGCTGCTGTTATGCTGCCATTATTTGGCAGATATAGGGTAGAATAATAGCAAATTTTTTTTTCTGTTATTTACCTATTATTCACTTTTTATTCATTCATTCGATCTGTGTCAAGTGCCAGAAATCCTAAGCAAGTAATTTTTTTAAGCATACTAGTGACAAAAAAAACTAACAGAAAATTAAAATTAAAAACTATAAATCATTCTATCTCATCAATACCAGAGAGTAATGTGCAAGCTAGAATAAAAAATTTATAAGAATATAAAAAACAGCTTCAAGCTAAATCTTGAAATCATATTAATTTTTTTTCAAGATATTTTGTATAATCAAGAGCTCTAATAAATTTCTTTTTAATAGTTGCTTTATTTTCTTGATTTTTTATACCTAATATGATTTAAATTTTGAAATAGAATTTTAGTCTAAGAAAGAAATCAATTTGTTTGTCAGAATCTATTATGTTTTTTTTTTAGATCTTTAGTGAATGAATTAGAAACTTGGAACTCCTTTTCCTTATTAGATGCTGGCTCCTCTTTAGTATCGATCTTGGTAGAAGAATTAAAAGTTTGATTTTTTGAATTATTATCCTGAATCACTGTTATATAAAGGCTTGATAAAACATTATTCTTGATTGGCTTAGTAAAGGTTAAAATAATATAAGATTTTCCACAAACTATTATTTGAAATTCATGTTTATTTGTATTTAAAATTCTTTGAACTTTTTGAACCTATAGTGTTTCTAAACAAAGAAGGTAATTGGGTTTTTTATTATCAATAACAACAACATGTTCTGTTTTAGTAATCTATTTATTTTTATATTTTATAGATATTGGTACATCCTTATATTCTCCTTCTAATTTCATTATATAATCAAAATTATGTCTAAGAAAAAAATTTGGTGCCATCTCAAGATTTCATCATAATGCCTCATTTAATACTTTATTTATAACAAGACATTCTGATGCTGTATTGGCAAACCTATCTGGAATAATTATATATACAATTCTATATTGCATATATTTAAGTGATTCGGCCCATTTATTTTTTATAGATGGGTCAATAATTTTTTTTCACATTGCTGAAGATAATAATTCTAATAACTGGTCATCTGATTCTGAAAAAGGTTTGGCATAATAACTTTTTCATTTTGTTTAGATTCTGTAACTAAAGATTTACATAAAATTACTGATTTATTCTGTGATGTCTTACTTATTCTTGGTAATATTCATTTTTTTTTTCTAAATAGGATAAAGAGGCATGCTATTGATTATCTTCTTTATTATATCCACCTTCATCCTGCTTGCTATCATCTGAATTAGGAGGTGTGTATTGAAGATATATTGGCTTGAGAGATATAAAATATAATCGAGTATAATTAGATTAGACTGTAAATTAATTGGAGCATTTGCCCTTGCTATGGCCTGTTTCTTCACAAATTCCATATTTCTTTATATACATTTTTTTCTGTAATTGGTCTGCTAACTGATTTATAATATCTTGAGTTTCATTAAGTCCTTCTTTTATTCTATTCATTCTGACAGATTGGTTAAATCTTTGTGGTTTTTTAAATAAGGCTTTTGCTTGCTCAAGATATTTAAGGTAATCTGAATCTTGAATAAGTAAATCTATATTATTACTTTTTTGATCTACTATGTAAAATGCTTGCTGAGGTTTTTCTGATTTTATAAAATAAAACTTAGATAGGAGTTAAAAATTTCCTATTGTTGCAACTTGTAGTTGTTGTGCTTTAAGTTCAGCCTTTAATTTTTTTATCTTAGCTTTAGATTCAGCTCACTGTTTTGCAAATACATTTTGAATTATTTTTTGCATATTAGTCATAGAGAATGCCAGTTGTTGAGGTATAACATCTGGAATAGCAGAAGCAATAGATGCATGGCAAGGTTAAGATAGTACTTGTTGTAATATTTCATGATATAATTTAAGTTCTGCCAAACTATCAATAATATCATTAATAGGTTTTGTTTGACCAATTCTATAAATTTAATCTCTAATATCAGGTCTAACTTCAGATAAGAAATAGGTTTTCTTCTGTGCTGAAGTATAACTGAGTTGATTACCATATTTCTGAATTTTTGCTCAGAATAAAGATACACTCTTATATATGCCTTGTCTTAATACACTAATTTCTAACATCTTTATATATTTATTAGCAGTTAAATAATGTTTTTTTATTTATTAAAGCCTTTGTTCGGATCATATTTCTGCTAAAATAATAGAAACACCTCTAGCATTTGGTGCAACTAGTATTGCATTAGTTGGGTGTCCTTTCACTATTGTCTAATCTTTAGCAACATTTTGAGCAGAGATAATTTGTGCACCTATAAGTTCAAGTGAAACATTTGGAAAAGAAGCAACTGCATCTATTATACCTTCTGCATTAGCACTATGAATATATGCTATTGTTGCACCTATACTAAAGTTATCAAGTACATTTTCTAACTCCTAATTTTTATTGTCAAATTCTCTATCATATCATTCTTTTGCTTCTTTTTTTAAGGATTGACCTAATATAGTGAGAATATTTGCATCATTATTTACTCCAGCCAAGATAATATATGATATAAACCTATTTATAAAATTTTCATAATCTTTATCATCATTATGAAATTCTGATTGTGCAAATTCTACAGATAATGCTATTAGTTAATTTTGCTGATTATTTACTAATATAAAATTTTGTTGCTATAAATTTAAAATATTCTGATTTTGATTCAGAATTATTTGGCATTTATTTTTAGTCTTATTCTTCCATTTTTTATATTGATAATATAGTCGATCTTATTAAAATTTACCAAGAGCTCTTTTATTTTGACAGTTCTGTATTTGTATATGCTCATCCTTAGTTTTATTCTTCCATTTTATATATCTATTACATATTTGGTCTTGCCAATATTTATTAAATGTCTGTTTATTTTTAATTGCTGCAATGCCTGATTCTGCTTCTGCATATATATATCATGATCTCATCTTACATTTATCAGATTTGTTGCAGGTTAGTGTATTTACATCAAATTGATCTTGTTGATTTTTTAATTTGATTTGATAAAATAGTTCTACATATTGTTATATTATCTAGAAATTAGTTTATAGTATCAGCCAATTTAGCTATTGTTTCTATATTTAAATTTTGATTAAAATTATAAATATCTAAAGAATTTTTATCTGAGTCAAAATTATTTTCATTAAAGTTCTATGCTTCTGCATTTTGCAAAGCCTTTCTAGTATTTATAAGTTCTAATCTATCTCAGTATTTTAATAATGCTAAAGCAAAATTCTGACAAAGAAGATAAGTAATATGATTTTTTTGCTAAGTTATTTTGTTAATTTTATTTATTTGATTAGTTCATACCATATTTATTTCTTATTTAAGTTATTCATTCTCATCTACTAATCTGGTTGTATAATCTTGTGCTTTTGGAATATTATTAGCAAATTTAGATATTTCTCATATTTTGGTTTTTAATTTTGTTTTATGCTCATCAAATTCTAATATTAATCTATTCTTACTGAAATTTTCTTGTCTTTCTTTTTATTTTTTTTCTTGAGTTAGTGAATGATTCTTTTTAGTTTTGAGATTTCTTTTTTTAACTCCTTTTTTTCTTTTATAGAAACTTCGATTGTATTAACTCTTTTCAAGAAATTTTATTCTTTCTTCTCGTATATTAATAATTCTTTCTAAGATATATAGACATTGTTTGAAATTTCTATTTGATTTTACTAATTGTGATACTACCTCATAGAATTCTTGACTAGATTGTTGTAACTCTTTCATGTTTTTTATTACTAAAATAAAACAAAGAAATAGAGAAACCCATAATTTATATTGATCTACAAAGAACCCATGATTTAAATAAGAAGATTATTTTGCAAAAAATTTATTATAGGCCTGAAAGTTATTATCAGATAGCTAAAAAAATATGAGATGTAAGTAGAAGTGATAAATATAATTTTTTATTAGCTAAGATACATAATTGGTTAAATAAGCAAGTCATTTTTTAAGTTCACAAGCCACCTTCAAGATATATTTTTAGAGTTTCATTTAATATAATTCAAATTTCTAATAAATGTTATCAGGCTGATATTCTCTATATGCCTTATAATAAAATTGAAAAAATAATCTATATGTTTTATCTTAATGTAGTAGATATTACTTCTAGATATAAAGCATCAGTTTCAATTAGAGATATTATTTCTAATATCGATGTAAGCTAGTTAAAAGCTGAAGATGTTAATTTAAAAAATATTTTAACTTCTAATACTATTGCTAAGGTATTTAAAAAAATCTATAATGATTCAACATGTTTACTTACTTATCCTAAATTATTGTTAACAGATAAGGGTTTTGAATTTAGAAAGGATTGTGAAAGATTAATGATAAAACATTATGTAAAAATTCAAAAAACTAATTCTAAACATACTATGGATATTGTTAAAAATATAACCAAATCTTAGCAAAAAGACTATTTTGAATACAAGATGCATTAGATTTGCTATTGCCAATATTCAAAAGATCTAGAGCTTGGGTAAAAAATCTTCTAATTATTGTTAAAGAACTTAATAATTCTGTAACTTGACTTTTTAAAATGACTCCTGTAGAAGCTATATGAAAAAAACAGATTAATGCTATATTTTCTTTACCTTGCAATAGTTCTGTTAGATTTGATGAACCTCAATTATCTTATAATATTTCAGTAAGATACTTACTGGAACCAGGTAAGTTAGAAGGTGAAAGACATCATATGACTGATTGTAATTAGTCTCTAAAAGTTTATTATATTAAAGAATCTTTAATACAAAAAAATCAACCAGTATTGTACTGGCTTACAAATGAAAATGGCAATAGACCTAAAAGATTATTTGTTTGTAAACAATTAATGAAAGTTGATAAGATCAAATATTCACTTAAATAGATATTACAAGATTAATAGTGAAGTTAGTATCTTTAATACATATTAATTTTTAAATTTCCAAACTATGTATTTTTTGAAGAATTTCATCTACTTGTAATTTTGTTTGCTGTTCTACTTTTTTTTTTTAATTAGCTATTTCTGAATATAATTTATATAACTTTTTTAAACTAGTATATATTTCTACATTGTACTAATTTTTAAAATCTGCTTTTCTTTCATTATAGATTTTCTCATTTGGAGTGCATTGCTTTGCTACATATCTAATATGATCTTCTGGATCTCT